TAGTCACAACATAGGCCTTCTGCATATAAAAAGCTGCTGATATGAACTTTTATTGACTCTAGTGCCGTTAATAGTAGATTTTCTTTCTTACCAGCCTTGGCTCGTTAATATTTCACAAGTCTTTCTACTATATGTGTAAAGTCATAGCTGTCTTCTCCCAAAACTCCTACTTTGCTTTATGTGAGTTTGAAGGGCATATGCACAATTTCAAACTGACTAATATGCGATAAAAATGGTTGAAAAAGTAAAGAACCTAAAGCCTACAGATCACTCAGTATTGCTGGCTACACAGTTCAATTACCTAGCTAGCTAGATAGAATAGGCTACTGCCCGATGCTAGCTAGCTAGCAAGCTAGATGTGCTGTGCTCTGCTAATGTAAGCTCTAGTAGTATTAAAAGTAGAAACATAACAATTTGAAAACATATATACTTCGGACCTATCCAGGTAACAAATGTCATTAGGACACATTCCCTGGACACAATGATGAATTAGCCTTTCATAATTAGATTATGAAAAACTGAAACAACTATTTTAAGATATTTTTTCTTCTCACATCATAATCAGGGTCTGAAAAAAAGATTATAAGGGATGTGTTTCAGTTCTATCGTTACTGTAAAGCCCACCCAACACTCTCTAGCTTGCTTTGTCAAAATATTAAATTAAATATTTTCCTGTTCATTAGGGGATTCTCTTCCACCCTCCATGGCATCACAGCCCAGCCGCTTCCCCTGACTACCTGGACGCCATCCCGGGTACAGACGTGGACCTGGGCACCCTGGAGAGTGAGAGCATGGCGGTGGAGGGCGAGGAGCTGATGCCCAGTCTCCAGGAGGCCCTGAGCTCTGACATCCTCAATGACATGGAGACAATGCTGGCAGCTAACAAGATTGAGAAGGAGAGCTTCCTCACGTGGTTATAGAAGATCACACACTCCTCTCCTCACACTCTGAACTGCTGCCTGCTCTGATCTGTGAAGGAGTCATAGATGCTTTTACAAGACATTTCAGCGAGCCTCTCTGAACTTCTGTCTCGGCGTGTAAAGCCAACCTATTTTGAGGCAGTATTGTTCTTTTCTTTTCACTGGTGTGTTATCTCTTTATTTTGTCTGTGTCTTCAAGGCTGGCCCATGAACAGACAATAACGCAAGGGTCCCCAAAATCATTCACAGATCTGTCAATGAATCGAGGGCATCTTTACCTTCCTCCTTGTCTCTCCCCCTCATGGCTGAGCTGGGCAGGTGCATGAACTCTTCTGCAAGAACTGCTGACATCAGTTATCACCTGGACTCTATGGTGCCTCTTTTCTTGCAATATAGCATGAAGCAGAACTACTTAACTGCGTTTGGGACTATTGCATCTAGCTTAAGTAGCTTTATATTTGGCCTTGTACATTTTTATTCTTGTGTTTGTTTGTTTTTAACGAGCCTGAGAAACCAAAAATGATGTATTCGAAGCATATGGAACAATACTGATTTGGAGTAAAGGTAATGTTAGGCCCAGTTTGAGCATGTTGGCTTGCTGTGGGGTGAGGGTGGGGGGTGGGGGGTGGGGGGGGGGTTGGAGCCTGGGGACCGACTACATTGCTGCTTGGCTGTGCCAGCAAGTCTAAGTTAAACCTTTGATAGATCAAGTGCCTTCAGTTGTATTCTTTAAGACGCGAGCAACACGAGCAAATACTCAGTTTCTGTACCACAGCAATACGCATTAGACTGTATGAATTTACATCAGCAACACTTTCCTCTATCTAATGTTCAATAATCAGAATTTTATTTTTGTTTTATAAACACATTATAAGGGGGATTTAGGGATTTATTTTGGTTTTTAAATCCTAGCTTCTAAGTATCTCAGTCTTATCCAAGCCTAATTCATGATTCATTCTTTGTTTTATCTTTTAGGTATTATTTTATTTTTAGTTTACTACATATGTATAATAGCTTAGATCAAAATGGCATTTTGCTTGTTGTTTTTAATTTCTTTTATAGATGAATTAATACATTTTAACAGGGTCTACTGTTATCACAGCACACCATGTCACAAAGTGGTGCCGAAGTCTGCCAAGACACAGAATGATTCAGTTTGGGTTGTTTTTTTAACCATTTCGCTGATTTTCATCCTGTCTCTGATTTACTATATACATATTAGTGTTATTGTGTATTTTTTGTTCACATGCAGCTTATAGTATCTCTATGAAAAAATTAACCAAAAAAAGGCAGATCTCTTGGCTAAAAAGAATCTAGAGCTCTTTGATCAATTAAACCTTGTGACAAATACAGTATACGAGAGATACAATGTGTGGTCTTCCTGAGGAGGAAGCGGGGCCCCTCTGTGCGACGCTGTGTGTTGAAATGAGGGGTTTATAGAAAACAGCTAGGACAAGTTTAAGCAGGTTTCAGAGTCATGTTGAGGGGTAGTGTAGTAGGCCAGGGTTTGACTGATGGCGGTGAGTTACACGGATTGTTGATTTCTTTTGGTGAAATAATTAAGAAACAATCAGTTATTATCTCAGTCAGGAATTGTTGTGGCAGATTCCAAAGATGTTTTTTTTGTAATGACGCAAACACTTGTTGCCTCCATTTTCACACAGTCCAGAAACGGTATGATTTGTCAATCAGCCTCTGTATGAACACACTGTATAAGCTAATGAGAAAATGATGTAGGTTGAAAGTGTTAATGGACATGTCTGAATAGGTCTAGCTGAGAGATTCTTTTTTTTTTTTTTTTTTTTTTACTTTTTAGACAAGATGGTTGTTTTGAGTGACTAACCCAGACATTTAAAGATGAGGTTTAAAAACAGAGAAGCAAGTGATTCTTCTTGAAGCGCTCACATGTTTACATTTTCTCTAAGTAACTAGACATCACACCAACAATTATTCATTATCACAATATTTTTGATGTTTACATCATGGCTACATATTCGCATGACTGCAGTAAGTTTTGAATGATCAGCCTGCCGTACATGCCCTGGGTTGAAGCCTTGGAGGGTGTAACACTGATTTTTGCCAACCAATGCTTAATTGAAAGCATTAACTTGATGAAACAATATTGATGTTGTTTTAGATCAGAGATCATGAACAATTTTTTTTAATCCTGTGTGAGAAGCCTCTTTTTAGTTTTGATTTTACTGATCATTAAATCATTTGTTGATGATGGATTAAAGACGGATAAACAGTGTTGGTGAGAACAATGCAACTAAAATGACTGGTACACTACAGTGCTTGTATTGCACGGCTACAGAGTTTCATTTTGATGCAATGACACATTTTGTCACACAGACCTGATTTTATGCTTACTTAGTGTGTAATTGTCAGAGCATATTAGCTGTTGACTGTCATTGTAGCAGTAGAACTAATCAAACAAGTTAAAGGATTTTGTATTTAGAGTTTTCTAAATGCACATGAAATGAATTTATATTCAGTATGATCTGTTCATTTTTTTGATAGATATGTGCATGTGTTTTAGAAAAATAAATTCTGTTACATTATATCGTGCTTCATAATACTTTGAAATTGGCCTGAAATAAAGTATATACTTTGTGGTAATATTTTACTTGTGTGGTATTTCTTCTATCGATTGATGTGTGTGTGTGTTTGTATTTTTCTAAAATGAGTTATATATGGAAGCTACCCAGCTACTGTTTAAGCTTTTGTTGTGCTCACTGTGATATTGTAAAACTGCTGTTTCTTATATTTGACATTACATTATGTGACCTAGAATCAAAAAAATAAACCTGCAAGTTCTCAATTGATTTTAAAACAGCCCCATTCATTATAAACATATTACTCATGTGCTTAAGTATTTATGTTGTCTTTAACTTTGACCATCATCGCAAATATGTTCTCGCACTATATTATGAAATTGTTTATGGCATACTACGTTATAACATTTTTTATGACATTTTTAACGTGTGCAATTTTATAAAAAAGTGTCTAATGCATACATATTTAAACAAAAAAAAGAAAGTTCTATACAACATTTCTGTCCGACCTACTATAGTATGACTGATTATGAATTGTATGGTTTTTTACATACTTTTTTCCCCCTATTTTATGGAAAACTATCTTATAGTTGTTTTATAGTACTAAACCAGATTTTCTTCTGGCATATTATAGTATTCTGTTTTTAATTGCTCTTTGATATGCTATGGCTGTTTAATTACTTTTTAATTGCATACTATGATACCTTTTTGTGACATGCTATGACTTTTTTATGAAATACTATCTCACGACTTTTTTTGTACTATACTATGACTTTTTGTATCACTTTCTCATGACAGACTGTACTATGATTTTTACGACATAATATTAGTTTTTTAAAAATCTTTTTATGACTTACTGCAATACTTTTTAATGACATACTATACTAGTTTTTTATGCGTTATGACATACTATGTGATTACTTTTTGTGACGTCCTAAAGTATGCGTTTTTATTACATACTATGCTATGACTTTTTATATGAAATAATGCTATTACTTGTTATAACATGCTATGCTATAATTCTTTAGACATATTTAATCATAATTCTATGACGTACTTTACCATTTCCATTTTGACATACAATACTAGGATTTCTTCATGACATTTTATAGACACAATCTTTTTTTAATGACACTATTGAGTTCATCTTCATGAATCTGTTTATGGAATACTATACTATGACTTCTTTAAGATCCACATTTTATTTGCGTCTTTTGTATGACATACTATATTTTGATTTTCTATACATTTTAATCACATGCTATCCTATTTTTGGATATACTATGCTATGACTTTTTTTTATGGCATACTAGGATTTTTATTTTTACTTAAAAAACTTAACGACTTATTTAAGAAATATTTGATGGTTATAACTTTTTTATGAAATAGTATACTATGACTTTTCTAAGATTCATATTACTATCACATTTTTAAAGAAACTTACAAAAATACTTACCTTTTCATTTATTAATCAACAAAACAGATATTTAAGAGAACAGGCATCCCAAAAGGCAAAACATGAACCAAATAAGCACATTTTATATATTTGTTTATTCAAATCAATTTGATTAATTACATGTATTATAATGTCTCATTACTATCCCAATACTTATTAAATATCACATGAAAAAATGAAGGGTTACATTACTTACACTGCATCGAAAACTACCACAGATGAAAAAACATAAACAATAACTAAGAAAACATTTATTGTGGCAAGGTTCTCCGTGTGCATGACTGAGCAAAACTTCTGAAGGTAAATAACGTCATGCTAAATAGTGGATGCAGATTTAGAAACTTAACTTGGAATACCAAGATGAACTTGAAAGCAACACAGCAATGTTTTTTTTCACAGTGTGAATTGATATTTTATCCTTTACCACAGCACTACGGCATGAATATGACAAACCATAAAAACAGTGACTGAAAAGAAAAGTAGTTTCTTGATATACCAGGAATAAAATATGCAGGAGTACTAAGGACAGAACACAAATTCCTTTCACAGTTATTACCATACAAAACAATACAGTATACTTGGATAACAAATAATATGAGTTTATAAAATTCCATTTAAACATTATTTACAAATGTTCCCCCTAACACCCATAATCCCTATACTCTGAGCTGCGGGTTGATAGCAATCTGTGACCCAAATTCACGAGTGACTGCCCAGAATCTCATCCAAATTTATATCTTTCATCCAATCATCATTGCCAGAGCCAGACTTGAGCAGAGAGTCTATGAAGTCTGAGTCTGTGTTGATCCCTGGAACTGTGTTGTCTCCCTCAGGGAGGAAGTCAAAGGTCAGACGGTTGGCCCGGTTATTCTGGTAGCTGCTAGAGCCGGGCTCTGCAAAGTTCCCTGCTGGTACCCTCTGTTCAGGAGAGGCCTGGTTCAGGGTCCCCATTGTTGATGGAGATCCCATCATCGGCTGGTTTGGTCTTGGAACTGTGTCTCTTAGCAAAGGGTTAAGAGGGAGCATCCCAATGTCTGGTGCTACCTGGTTTTGAGGGCCGATGTGCCTCTGTTGGTAGGGGTGGGTTGGCATGTCCAGCTGCCCACCCTGAGACTGGAGGGGATTGGGTAACCGTCTAACAAGTCCAGTTGTCACTTGCTTGTTGGCTGAGCCCCAGCCCATGTTAACATTTTTCATCAAGCCTCCGAGGGCCTGTCCTGGGACCCCTGAGGAATGCAGGTCAGCTGTTCTCGGCTGCTGTACACCTGCTACATTGTTCATCCCAAAAGAATTTCCGTGTGTGCTTGGCCCCAAGAACCTAGCTTTATTTTGATTGAGTCCAATTCGATTCTGATTGTTATGCTGCTGGAATTGACCAATACAGGGATTCGGACGAAGGTCAGTCCCGATACCAAACCTGCGGTCCGATGGTGGCTGACTCATCTTCGGGCCGGGCCCATTTGGGAGGTGACAGGACATAGACTGTAGGTCATTCTCAGGCCCATTGCTGGAAGACTGGGAGGAGTTTTGACCTAGAAAGATATCAAGAAAAACTGATTATAATTATGGCTGAATATTTTTTAATTCAAGCCCTTCCCACTTATGAAAACTGCACATTACCTGTGAAGAGGTTTCCTTGCTGAACTCCCACCATACTTCTTGACTGCTTGTAATCAGGTGGCGGTCTTGTAAGATGACGATTAAACTGATCATGTGCATTGTCCTTATCCTGAAAAAGGAAAGACAAAGTTGTGAATACTTATTATGTGATTAATCAATTCTGCCGAATTCTCTCAAAGTCTGAAGTGCTTATTAATTAGTCAAAGCAGTATGATGTAAGAGGCCTCTTACTGAATTGCTAATAGTGAGCTGTTGTTGAGTAAGCTGTCTCTGCATGGCCTGAGTTTTGGCAGGGCCTTTTAGCTGGTTAATGGGCACCGGGGGCCGTGGCTGCGTCTGGGCTGACATGACTCCTAAACTTCCATTGGTGGGCAGCCTCGGACCAGGAGGAACCCCCTAAAAGAAAAAAACACACATTGTTTTAAAATTAGGGTGAATAAACGTACTTCTTTATATATGTATTTTTGCCTGGTAATTGGAGCCAAGTACTATGAAATCTGTTGTGGGAAAACACAAAAAACAAAACATAGCAATACTACGAGTTGTCCACTAGAGGGCAAAACTCTACAAGACATCTTAGACCAGTGTCAAAGATGCTATTCAACCTCCAGAATGTGGTCAAGGCTACTCCCTCTGCAGATGAAAAAGGGAGACTTTGGAGAGAGGCTTTTTTTGGAAGGGGGAGTATGAGCCCTCCTCAAGGCCTGCTTCTCCCTTGATAATTGTGTCTAAAGAGAGTGGAAAGAATCCCTGAGACAGCAAGAAATGTGTGCCAATGGGGAGTTAAGCGCCAGCACCATGACTACCTCCATTTAATAAGCTCTCCTTTTCTGATCACTGTGTTGTGTTTGGCACGGAGGCATTCCATCCACTAGAAATCCATTTGGCTACTGACACTATCACACTGATTAAAATGTTGTAGTCCGCAGCACTCAAATAAAATTGAGAACTAGTGTTTTGTTTGAAGTCTTTTCCTGAACATATGCTATTGCAGATAAGCTTTCACCATTGCGCTGTTTGAGATGTTATATGTCCTTGTAATGTATATTTTCGTAGCTTTTTTTAGGCAGCTGTATGCACCATCCCTGCACTGCAAGTAAAACCTATCCTTCTTGTGGACACAAGGACACTCTCATAACGCTCAAGCTTCACCCAAGTGCAAGCATTTGTCATGAAGGAGGTTAATGTGCACCAAATCCAAGTCAACACACCCTGTGTATACAATGTCAGTCATTGTGTTGACTTAAAATGTTTCCCAGGGTGAAATGGATTAGAAATGTAACAGTGCATTTAGCAGAAGCTATTACTTAGAAGAAAGATTCTTTGCAGGGTGAATCCCTACAGGGAGGTGACTCTGTGGTCCCAGGGAGGAAAACAGAAAAAAAGAGAGGGAAGTAAGTGTATATGTGTGTGTACGTGTGAATTATAATGAATGGGGCTCAAATGTGAAGAACCAACAAGACAGGATTATAGAATGAGGGAAGTTCAAACTCATCAGGAGTCACAAGCCATTTCACATGAGCTAATATTCGCCTTCTCGTCGAGTTTCAACCCACACAGCAAACCGAGCATGGCAATGAGGTTACACAGGGACTAAAACATCAAAACAGTGGTTTCTCCTGTTACTGGCTTTGATTCACTGTATCCAGTTATGGAGACTATGAGAAATTCTGAGTATCACACACATTTTCCCCGCAGAGTTACAATAGAGGGAGTTTATTCCATCTTTGTTGTGAGAAAAACCCAATGAGGGGTGTTTTAGCGTGTACAACTGAGTAATACTCTCTGTCATCCCGATGTGTCATAAAGCTGTTTTCCATGTTTTTTCCCCCCTCTCGTTCTTCACAAGCTTGTTGTTAATGAATACCACATGTGGCTCCAGCCTCATGGAAGGAGCGGAGTGATATAGTCTCCCATCCTGCGGCAGTGCAGGCAGCTGACAGTGATCCAGGCCCAGCCTTGCCGGCTCTCACACTGCACTTCCTCCAGCCTGGACTCAGGACGCTGTCCCTGGGGACCGCCTCGGCATCTGGACTTGGCCGCGGTTCCCTTTCCCAGGAAACAAGCACTCCTTTCACAGCACTGCTGAAGTGACCTGGTAGGCTAAACCCCCTTGGCCCCACTCTTATCCTAACTGAGGGATGTGGTGCCACAAGATCATCAACAAAAGCTGAGGAGTCATTATTTACTGCGAGCAAGCCTTTTCTTAAGTTGTAATTTGGGGTTATGTGTTGTGAGTAAGGAAAGCACTCTATTCTGCAGAAAAGGAAAGTACATACTCTTGTGCAGCCTTTCAGGGGAATCTGTATTAGCTGAAGCTATTCACTGGATGATGAAATTGCTGCCAAATGCCTGTCTTCACAGAAGTAGAAGTCACTTTGGATACAATTCAGTAGAATGTTGGAAATGTGTATGAATCTATCAAGACAAGTATACATAGTGTACAGCTTTAACGGCAAATATGGAAAAAGGTAAACCTCTTATTATGTCTCGCATTGATCAGAATAAATATATTATTAAAATTATTCAAGTAATTAGATAACACATAATGTATACATATATTATGGAGGCCGTTCCATATAACAGGTCTAATCCCATTGTAAAAATGTAAATTACAAAATATTTTTTGGTGAAAAGGGGTAAGCTCAAACTAGAAAAGGGGTAAAAACCTCCAGACTGTTTTTAATATTCCCTTAAATGGACAGCTGTAAATGTGCAATCAATCACCTAAAAGTCCGTACAGATTTTTGAACAATTCTGAGTAAACCAATATGTTTCTGATTTTATTTCAGACGTTATAAATACCAAATAACTGTGAAGAATTTAACAACACCAGGATTGCTGTCGCTGCCATGTCATGGAACCCCACAAAGTTGTCCTTCTTTAGATTAAACGCACAACACAGCTATACTGATGTGACTAGCTAAATGGTGTCCTTGAAATAGCATTGCCAACCAACCACAGTAACTCAGGTTTCATAATGCATTAGTGTCCTCTACTGTAAGCTGCCAGAGAATGTATTCCTACTTTTTTTACGTGTGTGTTTGACCTCACAGCTAGAAAGTTGCAGAGTGGTGTATTTGAATTTTGACATGTTTGACTCAGCAACCGATTATTAAACAGCAGTAGCTTCAAACAAGCACCAAAGCCCACATCTCTGGCTGGTTTTAAAAAAAAGAATGTCCTCAGCTTCACAGAGTGAGAGGGAGCCCACTGCTAGTTGCTAGCGTTACACAGGGGATTCAAGGCACTCTTTCAGGACCTTTATTTCTCTGGTATTACTAATTCAATCCGCTGTGGGAAGAGACTCCACTCTTTTGCTCCTCTCAGTGAGCTGTCCCTTCCTCATTACCTAGACTTTTAACCCTGTCCATGCCGACTGCAAAAGACACACACAATCAGCTTTTTTTAAAGACTTGTTCTAAGATTATAAGAGGGCTCTTCTTCACAATTCCTATGCTATTATATCCCTAGGTTTATGTTTCCATATATTATTTCTTCAAACAAACTGAGCTTTTACTTTCAGGAAATGTACGCTTTGAAAAAGTTCACTTTTTTAATAATTTATCAAAATCTATTTAAAGCTTTTCAATTCATATCCAGCTCTCCTACGACTCTGAAAAGGTGAACTATTAAATGCTGTTTCATTTAATGCTCATCACTTGTTTATTAAACGTGTTATATTAGGTTAAAAAGCACAAACATATTACCACTGATACATTATTATTTCATCACTATTGCTAATACTAATACTCATATTGATGCTTATGCAAATTATGACGTGTGTATGGTGTATATACAAAATCATCCTGAAAAAAAAGGTTTGTTTTTGATTTTTCACACATGGATAGAAAGCTTGTGATAATGTAGATTTTTAAAAAGGGACATATGTTTTGTTGAGAGTGTAAGTAGCTCTCTGACACCGTAGTGGTAAAACCGGCTGTTTTAACCGTGTGTGATGATGTGTTTGCCTTCCTACCTTGTTTACTTCCATGTCTGAATAACTCCCTTCTTCTCCCCCTCCTCCCACCATCTCCCAGTAACTCAAGCACTTCCCTTGATCTGAAAAGGTTATGAGAGCTCTCTCGTGTGGCTCGCATTATCATTTCACACAAAGACAGCCGCAGATACTGTTAGAGCAAAAATGAAAGAGGGGACGGTCTAAATCTACCCAATCATAACAAATCAGTGGCTCAACCTCCGGCACCAGGCTAAGCAGATTACTGTCATTTTCCACCACTTGTCCCTTGTAGCTAACAACCTCCAATTAGCAAATCCCGCTGTGCATATCTGTGCGCTGACGGGGAGCCACCATGACAAGCAGAGAAATTAGAAGTCCTGCATGTTAATCTACCATGCACTGGCAATCTGTGTCATCGTCAAAACACTTTGAGGGGGAATACATATTCAAGGGAGTCACAACAGCAAAGGCACAGTCAAGCAGCTAGAACAATGAAAATAAAATCCCAAAGCAAACAGCGATGCATTGTTACTGTTCAGACAGCAGGTTGGCTGCTGCGGGGAAACTGAGGGAACCGATTGATGAGGGAACAAAGTGAGCTTGACTGCACTGCATCATGTTACTATACCTTCAGTAAACAAGTGATATTATTTACTTGGTATATACATGTAGGGCGTAACAAAATCACACAACCCAGTTAGAAATAAAACCAGACAGGACATTTGTAATTATTCAAAATGTACCTTTAAGTCATGGCACTGTATTAGGACACTTTAGATGTTGGTTACTGCCATTAATTAACATGTACCTAATAACTTAACTACACTACCTCTGTTGTATTTTATTATAAAGCGTGATGGTGGCACATTTCACACGAGTTTACCATATATATGATAAACGTAAAGTATGTCTTTAGAAGGCTTTGCAGCTTAAATTCAGGGACTGTAATATGTATAGTATAGTTGAATTTCGGATTTGGACATGGTCAAAATTGCTCAGTCAACATTTGGAGATGTTCACCTGAGAGCAAGAGTGTAATTGTCTTACCTGTCGCTGTTGTGCTAGTTTGAACGGCAGCCCTGAGGGAACCGGCTTGGGCGGCAGGCAGAGAGTCCCTGACGTGGAGATCTGCTGGTTCTGAAAGTGGAGGGATGGATGGGGCTGATTCTGGACGGTTGACAGCGACTGTTGCGGCGATGCCTTGTTCACAGAGTTCCCCATAATGGGCATCGGTTGGCTGGCAGAATGGGGTGCTTTAGGGCTGAAGTGCAAGGTGGGTTTGGTGCTGAGAACCTTCATGTCCAAATGATGGGAGCCGTTGTGGCCATTTGACTTGAAGAGGCAGTTGTTGATCCCTTTACTTTGAGGGCCAATCCTCTGCTGGTTAAGCTGGGCCGGGCTGGAGACCTTGTCCTGGGGGAAGGCGCTGGTGGAGGAGTTGGTACTCATGGCGGGAGCCCAGTTGGTCAATCCTGCAGGTGGTGTTTGATGGTGGTGATGGAGCAGAGTGCTTGGCTGTTGCTGGTTTGCTGCCATCTGCTTCAGCTGCTCTGCGTGGGATATTTCTGGCCAGCAGGGCAGAGCTCTAGGGTGTCCTGCCTGAGTGTTAGCTTTCTGCGACGAGGTGGTAGTAGGGGTGCTGGTCAACGTGAAAGAGGGTCCCGCTGAGGCCGGTCGAAGCTGTGGCGAGCCACCGTGAATTGGGCCAAAGTCTGGGGAGTGCTCCATCTTTATGGGCCTATCCAATGGGGGACACAGATTCCTGGCTGTTCCTGCCGAGCTCGGCCGACCAAGGTCCAAACCGAATGTATCATCCTGCTTCAGCATCTTCTCAAACTCCAGGTCATTCAACGTTGGAACTGTCTTTGTCAGCTCGTCAAAAAGATCCTGGAGGTCTGGGTCAATCTGACCACCGCCTTCATCTTTGAAGTCAAAGATCATCTCTGCATTTGACTGGCCACAAGACTGCACCTCAATGGGCTCTTTTTTCATTTCTTTCAGGGTCATGTTGAATATGTCTGACCCCACTCCATGGGGCATCATGTAATTCTTCCTCTGCATGCCCATGGTTGAGGAGCCTTGCAGGGAATGAGACTGGGTTAAGTTATGGTTGCAGGGTCCATGTCCCAGGCCACCCGTATCCATGCGGACTCGCTTAAAGTCAGATCCAGAGAAACCACACGAGAGCCCATTCTGCTTTGATGCGTGTCCTGGTGCATGGCCCTCAATCTTCCTGCGCAAAGATCCTTGAAGCTGAAAGACATAACAGAATGGAGATTTAAAAACACTTCAGAAAAACTTGATACCTCATATTCATTACATTCATATATTATTTACAGGGTAAGTGTTTTTCTAAAAAAGATCTCAACGGTAATGGAGTCTGAATTTTAATAGAAGACTTACCCACAAGAAAACATTTTCCGAACAAGGTTTTTAATTTCTACACTTTATTCAAAAGCTGTCTAGTGAGCCAATTTGAATTGTGGTGATAGAGTGGATGCATTACATTTTACATCCAGCTCAGAGTATCACCATGTAAATTAATTCAATTTCACAATTTGCTCCCAGGCCTAAAGATGCTGCATACTAGGCTAGCTTGGGACATTTACGAAGATTACTTTTATTAATAGACAGTGTTTTTTTATGTAGAATGCGTTTTGATTTTAAAACAGTGATGTCTAAAATGCTTTATTCTGACATAAATCACAGTCATGTTACATTGTAAACATCTGATTATTCAAATAATACTTTACATTTAATATATAGTTGTATTGAAACACTTTCCATGCATGGATGAGGTAAAGTGTTTTGATAAAATGTAGATGGTGTGCAGAGGATGGGCTGTAAAGATAACTAGGAATCTAATACAGTCGACAGACTGCAGGGAGAAGAATAGGGTCTTTGTTTCCCTCATTTGCATACATCATTTTTTTTCTTCCATTGTGCTTCGTTAGATAGCGGAGTTTCTCCTTTGTGGCTGAGATTCTGCTTAACATGCTGCTGCAGAAACCTGACTTCCTTTTGTCCTATCTGGTTGTCTTCATTTAAGGTAATGAGCATATCCACATGCCTCACAGCTGTAACCACTCACTAACATCTCCAAAAAACTGAAGCATTAAACACACGTAAAACAAAATGTGCATGTTATTATATGAAATATAGATTATTTATATATTGAGGAGCAGATATGATTGTCATGTCAAAGGAGGTTTTTCCTCCGCGTGAGTCTATAAGTCCTTAGAAATGTTCTCGCTGGTAGTAATGACAGGCACAGGGTTGTGTACATATAGAAAAGGCTGATTATCTGACTATCTTTTAATGTAGCGCCTGCATGGAAACTAAAAGGCTTGGATTGCACACCAACCTGAGCACAGACAGGAGAGGAGTGTGTTGCATATTTCACAGTGGGAACACATTTGAGTCATTTCCACCTGCTGGCACACATTACATTAAGATGATTCATAGCCTGAGGGTTTGGAGTGTATCCTGCAGTTCACTACATTTCCACTCGGTTTGTGTCTGTATTACTGCTGCTAATGCTCCGAACAATTGTTCAGAGATATATCTTCACATTTTAATCATACATACAAACACATCTGTGATTCACCAAGCCTCCTTTATTAAAGCTAATAAGTGTGTATGCTTTTCCACATATCGAATGGATGTGGATGGATTATTATGATTATGTTGATGGTGGTGTTGTACTGAGAGTGGGAGGGATACTAAAATGATCAATTCTATTCAGAGCATCACAGCAGTGGCTTTGCATTTAGCACAGTAAGTAGAAGCTGTTGTACTTCACATTAGTGCAGAACATTTTCTAAAGCATTATCTTCTTGAGTTGCTGTTTTTTTCTGCATGCACTTAAATACAATGAATGGTAACCTGGAAATAAATCTATATTTTTGCACTTGGTACTTGCTGGAGCTTTACAACAACATGTGTGACGGTAGAAGAAAAAGATTGCGTTCATGGAAGAAAAAAAAGAGAGCTGGAGTGTGTGAATAATGTCAAAGTCAAGCAAGGGTGACCAACGCGTTTCCTTTTTTTTTTTTTTGTCAACTACAGAATATGTTACTATATTATTGTACTGCAGCTGGAGGCAGAACCCAGTTTCAGAACTCTAGTTGATGGTGCATTAAAGGTCCCTCGACCAAATCATCTTAATTACATGTTACTCTTAAAATAGTCCCTTTTTTTACAACTGTATTATAATATGTAGAGAATTACTTTTTACCAAACAAAACAAAGTTGACAAATAATTTGTTATAAATCACCTTACTCAAGATTTTGACCTAACAAATACTGAAATACATCGTTTTCCATGTATACTTTATCGATTAACTATTAATAAAAAATGCAGAATATTTCATTTTGATCCAACCCTATTTGAAACACATAGGTCGATATCAGTAACATTATATGTTATCAATGGGCTAACAAATAAATAAAAGAATATGGTTATTTTAGTGTAGTGTTACCCTGTCTTTGACATTACATGTTTTTCATATAAGCTTAGTTAGCATTTTGTTTATGAAAAATTAAGTGGACAATGCATTACTTGAGAAAGAGAAGCAACTTGTATTTTGATTTTAAAAAGTACTCTGCCACTAAAGTTTGCCTCAGTCGAAAAAAGTTCTTCCAAGAGACTCAAAAGAAAGAAATCTTGTCAGATGATGTAATGACTGGATAGACGATGCCAAGCTTATACGGAGTATTAAAGAGACACATACAATTGTAACTTGGAGATGGTCCACGATTTCATTACAAAAGGTCTCGTTCTCTAGCTCCTTTTCACCATTTTCACTGAGATCCAGACCATTAAACATTGTGCGTCTCTATAGGCTACTGGACATCTGTTTTCCTCCAAATGCAGATGAAAACAGGCCCTCCAGTGTGTGCAGCTCATGCACACACTCTCCCCTACCAGAGGGCTCTTTCTGTGGAAGACAGACAGGAGCACTCCTCATGGTTCAAGGCACTGTCTGAGAAAACACATCATGAATTATGCAGAGGACAGTGGATGCGTTGCAAAAAGCCATTGAGAGGCTGGGTTGCCTCACTACTGCCTGTGTGCCATAAAAACGGACTCAAGTCAAGAGCAGTTCTTCGTTGAAATTCAAAAGCTTTTAAAAGGAGTGAAATCATGGTTTCATCAAGGTTAGATCAATGTCATGTGTGTAAACTTCATTTGGGTACCAAAAAACATATACTTTTTAGGATTTAAATTATTTCTCAAATAAAGGACCATCCTGATCACGCAGCACTCAGAAGCAGTGGCCTCTTAGCTGGCCTGAAATCCTCTTGACAGATCTCCATGTGATCTGAAAATAGATTTTCTGATTAACATTTAATGAGCTTAGAAGCTCTGAATCACTTTGAAAGTGACTCCTGCTGCATGAGAGGTTTAAACATATGTGTTATATACTAATATTCTTAGAGATGGAGGAATTACTGCTTGTTTTCTGTGCTGTTAATACGCAACCTCCCTACTATCGGGGTTCAATTTGTAGTAAGCAGAACTTTCATTCAAATATGTTTTTATTATTACAAAACCAAAGCCAACAAAATAATCTCACAGCTACAAGAAAGAGAAAAATAACACATTGTTTTACAGATTTTAACGAGGTGCAACTTTTTTTGGAATCCATCCAAACTGTGCTTTTTTACTGTGGACAATTTCCGAGAAAATAAGCTTCGTAAAACCAGAATGGATTTCACTTTTGAGCATAACCATTTGGATGCTGCTTATCGATGCTCTTTGACTGTGGCAGTGAGGAACCTGACCTTGGCCCTGTCAACAGAGGCTATCTATTCCTGGGAGCTGGAGGGCTGCTAGCTTGTGTCAAGCTGAGCAGTGTGGTGATGCTGAGCACTGTGGATGGGGCTCCGGGTGAGCCATCACAGGGACGCAACACCAGGCCTCCTGGTACCATCTGTCAGTCCGGTGGCACAGTCCTCCGAGCCATGTATACTTGAAGGGTATAGGTTTACAAGTGTTCGAAGGTTTTGTGTTTGAGTGTGGCTCACCAAAAGAACGAGCTCACCAGCCTTTAATCTATTCACCAGAGCCCTGAAACATGTTGCAATTCGCTCCAGCGAGAGTTAGAAACCCTCCTCTAGGCATTTGACATGGAAAAAACAACCCCCAAAAATAAAAGGAATAAATACGACTATTGTGTTCCTAGGGAGACATAATATTTATGTGGTTCTGCAGGTTGTATACTGTTGCGAGAGGGGATCTCAGCTCTTTATTGCCAGATAAGAAACAAGAGCCCTCAGACCAGTGCCAATGATCAGCTGCCATACAACAGTCAGCTATCTGCTTGCAGAATGCTGAGAAAGTGTAAAGGGCTCATTTTAATTAAAGGGTCTCTACTAGCCGTCTTAAGCTGTGAGCGATTATATTATATCCAGAGAAATTGAATTAAAACATCCTGGATAACTTGAAATGTTTAATTATGTGAAAGGGAGGTAAGGCAGCTGAGGCTGTGATACAGTATGTTCATTCACAAGGCAATGTATAGTTCCAGTTGAATCAGGTCAGGGGGGCTGTCAGATTCCGCTTAGTCTTTCCTGTATCCCTTATTATTGTTTCTGAATCACCGTTGGTTACCAAGTCATGGCTTTAATTCAGCACATTTCAGGTAAGAGAGAGATGTTCACATGTATTTACTACGAAACAACAAGAATAATCAAGATTAGATGCTATACAAACAGCATTCTAGTTCTAGTTCAAACAGAGCTTTAATATGTTTGCCTTGAAGTTATAATATAAAGACTATATTTGCCTAGCACTAAGAATAACTGAACACTAAGGCAGCAACAAACAGCTGAACGTGTCTGTAAAAAAGTGCCACACCAGCATATATAAGGTGTGTTTTTTTGATAATCCAGCAGGAAATACTGAACTAGATATCTATTGAAGCAATGTGTGGCAGAGATATTAGATAGCTGCCTCATGGAAATCTTGGCAGCTACTTTTGGCATTAAATTAAAAATATCTTTGTAAGGTTTTGGTGGATGATTAATGTCTGACAAAATGATACCATTGGTAGCCTTTATAAGTAAATTATTTTAAAAAAGCGTTTATAACTGAAAACACTGGGAAAAGAACACATCGTGTTACCCTAACAAATAAGACTGTTTCTATAGGGCATGTGCCATAAGGTTGCACAGGGATACAAGGCTAGGTTCATGGTGTGCTTCCCTAATCAGGCTGGCGCGGGTTGGGACAAAGCAGCACACTGCAG